GGGGGGGAGGGAGGGGGTTGGGTTAGAAAGGAAGGTGCATTTCTGAACACCTGGTTTCGGAAAGAATTGCCGTTATTCCTTCTGGCATATATTGCTGATAGGTGCCATATTTTTTCCCATTATCCGGTTGTAAAAGACTGTCTGGGTGGGGGTGGGGGAGAGGGGAAGAGGGGGGATGAGAGGTGAATGTTGCTACTTACACTTAACCAGGGACATTGGCCCTATTCCCTCTACTTATTTTGCCTTTGATCTGTGAATTTTTTTGCCTTTCGATCTGCATTCCATGCGTTTTGTTTAAATCAATTAAATACACTTGAACTTAATTAAACATTCTACCCTACGTATTTTATTTGAAATTTTTGGGAGCAAGTTTAAGTGGTTAATTGTTATTTCAAAAAATAATAGGTAGAAGATTGAATATGCTTACTAGTATTAGTGCAGGTAACTAACATCATATGCCTAGTTGTTTGGTGGGTTCTATCGACGATTGCAATAATTCCAGCTAAAGTTCTAGAATCACCCTCTATCATGGGCTTTCTAGAGATGATAAATCATGAATTTAATCTCAATTTGCACTAGTAAATAACGCAATAATGAATTTTTTGCATGCTTTCGCTTGATTTTATCACTTATATATGTGCGTCACTTATATCTGTTTAATACGGAGTTTGGTAAAGACTTCGAACTTTATCTCTTCTCATACCAAGATTTTCAGAGAGAAAGAGGGAGAGAGAGAGAGAATTGAAAATGTTCAACCATTTGCGTTTTCTACCACATTGACAATTTTCTCAATGACAACTTGTCGATCTTGTTGTCCTGCGCTAAGTTCAGGACAAGAGGGGGAGAGAGAGAGATGTTTTCTGGATCTCTTGTTGTGTGGTGGGTCTCTCTCCTCCTGGGTCATCATCAAATCGCACTCTTCCCACTTTAAAGTCCCCATAAATCTGTTGCAAAGTTATTTTTTCATGATCTGAACGTGTTTCTAATTTAGTTTAGTTTTAAAATCTGATGTTAGCTCTGATCGAAAACACTTTCAGCCCTATGGTGAGCTGATAATTGCCAGATATTTTGAGATGCAACTCATCTTGATCCGGACCTCATATTAGAATGATCGGTCAGTTGTATGTTGTAAGGGGTAGGTTTGTTCTATTTAAAGTCATGGCATTCGTCTGGGAGCTTTGTGACTCACCCTCGTTTAGCCTAAGACAAGTCGAGAAGAAGTAAGTGGACTTCTTCGTTCTCCTGACAGCGGCTTTTTATTTAGTCCCATAGCGTCTGTGCCTGTGGTATTTTAAAGCAATTAGTGTACTTTTGACCATTTTGTGAGGGGAATCCCGTTGCCCTACACTTGAGCGCAAGCTCTCTGCATCCAATTTTACTATAATTACCTATCTTGATGGATGTAATCAGTGTATTTCATCCAAATCGCCTAGATCACCGTTTTGTGCTTCTTTTTGGCACAAGTATCTGTTGAATGTCTGACTGTCCACACTTCTCATTACTTTCCAAACCCTCGTGGAATTTCGTAGGAAATCTCGTATTGTGGACGCTGAAACTTCACTTATGCAGAGGCAAAAATTAACTAAAAGTGATCATGAAAGAATTTAAAAAAAATCACCATCCCAAACCCCCCCCCCCATACAATTTTCTCAATGTCTTTAGAACTACTGGTTGAAGACGCTCAACTTGATTGTAATGGTTGTGTTTGAAACTTTAATTAGGAATTTTAATAACTTACCAATTTTTACTCTATTAAACACTTTATTTTGTGAAAAATGCACCCAACCGAACTCACGCTTATCTCACAGCAACAGACTGATGCCGCCGATGTGAGGGAGTTTTGGTGGTGTATCCGGCGAAGGCTGCATAGACACGTATTGAACATGCTTCAAATGGCAATAGCACCGCTTCTGTTACGAGTCTATCACCAATGGAGCTTATGCTGAAAGAGGACCGCGCGATTCTAAGGGGCGTTAAAAAGAGCTAATAAAATTGGGAAAAAAAAGTTAGCCTGTCTAATCGCCTGAACGGTATTAAATGCCCCTCAATGTCGAGGTTTCGTGTTGTTGTATCTTTCCATTTCTTACAGTCTTAGCACCCAACTTTTGTTCAAAAAAAGTGACTGGACTTTACTTATCTGAACATCTTAATGAATTAATTTTCCTCAGAAGTTATGCTTTTCCTTGCGCTTCATGGCTGGCTGGTTTTCATTATAGTATGGAAAATAAGTCAAAATCTTCTTGTTTTTTTTTCGGATCAACTCTATTTTCCATTTTATTGGGGGGGGGGGGGATTTTTAGATTTACCAGTAACTTTTTCTATTGAAATTGTTTCTTTTTCTCTTTATCTTACATTCGTCTTCATTTGTAGTGAGGTCTTTATTTTGATGGAGTTAGATTTCGTCTGGTCATGTATTCCTCTTTGTTTACACACTCTGTGTCTCCTTTGTTCACGCTAATTTTTGACGAATCGAAGAGGGGAGAGGGGGGTTGGTGAGATAAGGTTCTCGTTTTCGTACTCTTGCCTTTAGTAGCAGCATGCGTAACAATGTCAATGTTTTATTCAAGAGTCGTAAATTTGATGTTGGCATTTCAAATGTCTAACACACCATTTCTCTTCCATTGAATCGATAGCGCCGACAAACCGACTCTCTGTGTGGTGGTGATGTAATATATATATATATATATGGCAAAATGACTTTCATTTATCTTCAGCCTAGATTTTGGAGGCGGGATCATTTGTTTTCGTAAATGCTGTTAGTTAGAATTGAGTACAATTATATATTAGGCAACTCGAATTGAGTCCATCCTGTTCTTTCTCACATTTAAAATAGATGAACGTGGTGACAATGCCCTGTGTGATGTTGATCTCCCCCACCACCGCCTTGATCGCCAATTTCGGCCAACGCGACTTCACCTTCGCCATCGCCCAACACATCGCTCAAGAGCGCTGCACTGCCGTCACCCAGGCCATTGAGGACAAACTCACTGCCGATTTGGCGAGTGTTGAAATGCAGAGGTACGTTTTGCCTCTCTCCCCCCCCCCCCCCCCCCCCCCCCCCCCCCACCTCCACCCCCACCCCCCTCCAGGGTGTCTATTGTATATTCACCTTGATAGCTGTATGCTTCACATCTCGTTGACAAAAGACTAATTGTATTTGGACTCCAACAAATTCAAGGTCACGTTGCTCATAATTGCTCGTCAGTAGCTTAATCTAGAAAACTGACAATTCGGTTAAGAATACACGCTAATTAATGGTCCATAAATTATATAAACGGCAGGTGCCATAATCGCAAAAGAGAGGGGGGGGGGTCATTTTCTTCTTCATTAAAAGTCACGGTATGGTGCATACTCCCGCGTATAGTTTATCTCTACTGATTCCATATTTGGCGCGCTTTTCGAATTTCACTCCTATTTGAGATTAATTGGGCAATGTCTCCGCGGTCAAGGTTCAAACAGCATGACTCATTTGAATCAGACTCTACTCTACCGATGTTGGCAGTTGATGCAATGGAAGAGGAGAAAGAGGCGTCGAGGTGCGCTTATTATAAATAACATGAGGGTGGGGGGTGGAAGCATAGACATAGTGCTGTGGAATACGCCCAGTGGTTATGGGTTGGACACAGAGCCCCTCCCTGGACTCAACTAGATTCCTTTCCCGTCCTTTTTTAGCATAGTCTTTGACTACCTAATGAGAAATGGTTACCTGGCAACCGCAAACGCGATGGCCCGTCCTTCGATTGTCCCACGAAATGCTGCCAACAACAACAACAAAGCTGCCGTTAATGGCACTGATTCGTCTAATGCCTTGGACACCAACAAACTCCCCCACCCCGACTCATCCAACGCGAAGCCCACTTCACTGAATTTGAAACCTCTGGATATGAGCAATGGAATTTGTGATCAAGATGCCTCAGTTGCAAACACACCCCCCAACACAAAATCCTCGCCTACTCAGCCTACTGCTTCCCAGGTAGGCAATCTGCGCTCATTCCTCATTTTTTGTTTGCCTATTTCTCCTTCTCAAATATTGTGAGTCGCTGTTGGCAAGACAGAGAGTATCTATTTCTCTTCCTGACTCAGAGTTGGAGTTGTTATTGGGATAATTAATGCAAGGTGTTCGATGTGAATTTGGGAAGTTCTGATTGGTGCCCAGGATTTTTGCCAGGGCCTTCGGGCTTGAGATATTTGGGAGATAAAGCTCCTTTTAACCTTATATCAATACCCCCCCATTTTGGCCGAATATATATCGTTAATTTAGAAAGTGTGCATCGATGGGTGCCGACTCAGGTGACCTCTAACTTCTCAATCAAGCACTTTAGCTGTTGCCCTTCCAGGGTTCACGCACTTAATCTGATTTAAGCAGCTTCTTTGAAGTTCTACGCCATTTTGCGTTTTCTACGATTCATCCTCTCTATTCACCGAATAGTGTCCTTTTCAGATGCGATCTTTCAATACTTTCTTGGCATTGAAATCGCTTCATCTCCATTCCATACTCGCTGGCTGTTCCCTCGAAGCCATGTAACTAAGCTATGGTTTGTTCACCACATTTCTAAAAAGCTCTTATCAACTCTGAGAGCGAATCTTATTTCATCTGTGAAAAAGGTTTTTCTATGCATAATGACAATCTAGTCTTCTAGGTTTCGTAGGCTTCTATCAGTATCAGTTGAGTGGTATTTGCTAAATTAATTTATTTCAAGACGCGTCTAAAGTTGTTCTGCATTTAATCGTGTTATCAGACTTGCCGGGAGTCATTATTAACACACGCCCCAGTCTCTCAAGTACCTGCACACTCTGTGCTCTAATTTCTAACTCCTCCCACATTTGACACTTGTGCGCTTGAACTACCCTTCACCCTACCCCCGTGTTCTGCAATCTTTAGTGCTACTCTGACCGTTGCACACCTGCCTATTTTCTGCGTTTTGTTCTTTTTGTAAGTAAATCAATTTGCCCCCTGAGAAATAGAGAGCATCCACCCACGCATGCTTGTACTTTTACTTCTGCTGTCCAATCGCCTTGCGACCTTGTCCTTCGCGTACAATTCCGGAAGAGTGGAGGTGGGTGGGTGGGGGGGGGGCGCGGACAGGGAGGAGTAGGGGAGAAGTTGGTGATAATTTTAGAATCTGCTAGCAGACAAACAAATCGGTCGGGTTGAGTCTCTCAAATATGCCAGTCGAGTTTTATTTGTGTGTATGATGTGATGGATGTGTATGTGTGTGTGTCTCGCCCCCCCCCCCCTCCTCTAATCCTCTTTCGGTATTTAATTTCACTCATTCGCATATGTAGGTGCACATTAATTAACATCTTTAGCATAGATACGTGTTCCGTACCATTCTTATCAAATAATTAAGTGATTTATGTGTACAGAACTCCCTTAATCCGATTACACTGGCAACTTGGCGCAGGTATAATTAAATCTTCCAATATTGGGCTTTCGATACGGCTGAAATACATCTTAATGAGGGTTAGTTTAAGTTCACATCAAATTGGCAATCTCTTGTGGTGATGATTTCGGCTTCATCTCCTTCCCACTAGCCAAGGTCAATAAGGTAAAGTTTTCACAGCACTGCCCTTTTGGAGAGGGAGGGAGGGAGGGAGGGCATCGTAGATCTACTGTTAGCTGAAACCCCCTTTCTACCATCTCCCTTATTAATCAGAACTAACCAGTACAGTGCCCCTCCTCCTCCTACATTAGATTCGCACCGATAGACATTGACCTTTCAGCTCTATTTCTGAGTAAAATGGTACGATCCCAGAACCATTTTACATTGAACTGCCATCTGTTTTCCCTCCTCCCACTACCCTGGAAGATGGGAGGCTAGAAATTTAGGAAAACGAGGAAGCAGTCACGTGTCAGATTTTCACCTTGTCAGTGTCAGATATTGTTAGCACGGACCATTAGTTTGCAAGGCATAACGGGCTGATCCTCTCATTGTCCATTTTTAATAAACTACACTTCACGCCTTGCTTTTTTCTCCATTAGATTAGAGTAAATAGACCAGCTAATTTAAGCAGGTTTTCTGTTACCAGTCGATCGTAAAATGTTCGTTTTTTTATTATTGCGTCTCTGCATGGGCCTGGATTAGGGAAGTATGGAATGTACTTTAAGTTGGGAGTGTCTTTGTCGGCTGTCTGGCATTGATTGGCTATGTACGTGTCCTGTCCTCCATTAGCCTACTTCAGTCACTTTCCACTTTTATTAGGCAGATTTAACCAATGAGCGTCTCACCTCGACAACCGATTTCACGATCGAGTTCTAGATGCATACCTTCCCCCCACCCTCTTTATCGTGTTTATTATTTTTCTTTTGAAATAATTAATTATTAAGGTAAAAATGATCGGTTCGTGTTGGCGCAAGTAGTTTGCCAATGCATATAAGTTAGGCCAGCTGCACAAACCAAAAAAAGTTAGTTGATCGTGAAACGTTGGCCTTTTTTTCTCACCACTTCTATGCGTTTTCGCGCGAATTGCTGACCTGGGCAAACGTACAGAAGGCAGCACTTTAAGTGGCGCGCGAGTGCGAATTTTGATCGTGCGCAAATGCCAGACAGATTGGTCACCTAGGCATGATTGATTGATTGATTGATGGCCTTTATTGCATCACTCGCTGTGACCTTACTTATCACCTCTTTTTTCCACCCTCTTTTAACTAATTTGGTTGAACTGGAATTGCACGATTAGTTAACTAAATTACTGCATATAGCAACGTGCTGACAACTTGGCCTTGAAATCTGGCGTCGTCTGTTTTGGCTGTGTTTGAGCGCGCCTCCCTGATCTGGGCTGATGAAGTGAGTGATCGACGATTGTTTGCTCATTTCTAATTCTACGTTAATGCCAACCTTATATGGATCATTTTGGTGGAATTCGATTTTGGGTTCCCACAGTATGATCAGTACTGTGTGAGCAGTGCCCTTGTTCATTCACTCACTTAATCTCTAATGTGTGTAATTGAATTAGAAGTGCTCTTAATTTAATTTATGGAACAATCGCTTTGCGAGTTTATGACGGGTTGAAATAATTCTCTCTCAGCATTTTTACCATTACTTCTCTTAGGGGGGAGAGCCTGTTTTGACAAGTATATACCCTTCAACTACTGTGCATAGTTTCACCCTGGTTTCGTGCCATAGTTCTTCTTTAAAAACTCCATCTTAGTTATTTTAGTTGTCTTTCTAGCTTTGGCACTACGCTAATTTGGTGGAGTTCAGTCTTAAGTTCTCTCTCTATAACTGTGCTTTCCGAATTTATTTGTCTTCGTAACTTCTATCATGTTTGTAAACCCCGTGGGGTTTTCTTTGGCTTTCGAATTTCTGAATTACCATCTTCTCCAACCTGCATGGAATTTCAGCTAATCAGCTGCTAGATACGCGCGTTGACTCTGTCTTGCCTATCTATATCCTCTTTTTTCGCTTGTTTTGTGCCAAAAATAGAACGAAAAGTCACGTTCCATTAGTGATTCCCTATTCCAATGACAATCTCTTTCACACCTCGACCTCGTTCGACAGTTTCCAACTGCTTGAAATTACTAAGGTGAATTCGCTTCATTCTGTCAAGAGGGAAATGGAAAATCGACGTTTTATTATTTATATCCCCCCC